ATGTTAGTCTGATAGAAGTGACTCTGCCATGATCACAGTAGAACTCATCCACATATATTATTAAAATAATGTTTTTTTTGGTACCTTGCTTTTCTGGCCCACTAAATATTACTTAGTCTTCATACCAGATAAACCAATACAGTTTTGCTGTCAGTTCTGAGAATTTAATTGACTTAATTTATTATTTTAAAGGGAGACAAGGTCTTGCTCTGTTGCCCAGGCTGGAGTTCAGTGGTCCAGTCATAGCTCACTGTAACCTCGAACTCCTGGGCTCAGCAATTCTCCTGCCTCAGCCTCCTGAGCAGCTGGGACTACAGGTGCCCACCACTGTGCATGGCTAATTTTTCTATTTTTTTTGTAGAGACAGAGGTCTCACTATATTGCCCAGGCTCGTCTGAAACTCCTGGGCTCAAGCGATCCTCCTGCCACAGCCTTACAAAGTGCTGGGATTACAGGTATGAGTCACTGTGCCTGGCCTTGGCTTGATTTAAATTTCACTAAATAATCCAGTAAATTAGTTATTCCTCCTAATGGCTATCAAAGTTTCAGAGGCTAAAAATAGGTCTCTAATAGTGACAAATTCTTGAGTGTTTAATTAAGGTTTAAACTCTAATCTATTTTTTGAAATAGGTACTACATCCACATGGTTCAAAGTTTAAAAGGCTAAAAGGGGTGTACATTGAAAAGCTTCGCTTTCATTCTTCTCATATATGTTTTTTGAACGTAGGCAGCTACGTTTCTGATCTCTTGCATTATACAAATTGGTTGTATCCTGCCTGTTGTAATCCTAGGAGTTCCTTGACAAACACATATATATATTTTTTGAGACAGAGTCTAGCTCTGTGGCCCAGAGCTAGGAGCGCAGTGGTGCAATCTCAGCTTGCTGCAACCTCCACCTCCTGGGTTCAAGTGATTCTCATGCCTCAGCCTCCCAAGTAGCTGGGATTACAGGCATGCACCACCACACCCGGCTAATTTTTGTATTTTTAGTAGAGATGGGGTTTTACCATGTTGGCCAGGCTAGTCTTGAACCTCTGACCTCAAGTGATCTGCCCACCTCGGACTCCCAAAGCGCTGGCGTTACAGGCATGAGCCACCATGCCTGGCCAACAAAGAGTTTTTAAAATAAATGGAGGAATCCGTAAAAGGAAGGCATCATTTAATTCTACAAACATTTACTGAGCCATACAGTGTGCCTGGAACAATGCTAGCTATTGCGGGGTATAAACATGAGTCAAATGATTGAAAGTGTACTTTTCTTAATTAGAAAGGAGAAGAGAGTAGAATGAAGGACTATTTGTAAAGAAACCTGATGCTTTCTACTTGACCTATTTGGAAGGGTTGATTGAAAAAGGTTCCGCCTCTTTCCAGCTGAGGCCTGGAGTTAGGGTTATATTCTTGGCCCTGTCTCTGTAATAGCCCAGCAGCAGCCCTGTTTGCAGCCAGGCTCAGCACAGAGCCCAAGAACCTGGCTGGAAGCTGGTGTCTATCTCACAGTTTTTAGGGAGATGGAAAAGCTAAGTCAAGCATCCTCAACATCAGAATGTTGAAGTGGCTCCAGTTTACAACTGAAGGGCTGCTCAAAGACCTGAATGCTCTTCAGCTACATCTGAGAGGGCTGGATCCACTTCTCAGCCGCTTGGAAAACATGGAGCGTCCATAACAGATGACCTGAAAAGACACTGGAAACCAAGCAGAGCTACAGAGGTGGCACTGAGCATATTATACACATCCCTTTTGGGGCCTTCAGGTTTCTGCAGGAACTTAGGTAGGCAAGGCCGGGTAATGTGTACAGAATGGGAAGAAGTGAACGGCAGGCCAAAGGTGTTTGCTAGGAATTCAGGAGTACTGATGAGGAGGGGCAGAAATTAGGAATCGGTGGGCATATTTACATCTGGATACCATTTGTTTCCCTGCAGGAATTTCAGATAGAGCTGCCCCTGGCCACGAAATAAACATTGTGCATCTACCATGCTGCCTTTTCCATTGGTCCTCAAGATTGGGCGTGGGGCCTCTGGCTTCCACAGGGTAGCAGGCCACAACATTGTACTTTTTTTTGAGACGGAGTCTCACTCTGTCACCCAGGCTAGAGTGTAGTGGTACGATCTCAGCTCACTGCAACCTCTACCTCTCAGGTTCAAGCAATTCTCCTGCCTCAGCCTCCTGAGTAGTTAGGATTACAGGTGTGCACCACCACGCCCAGCTAATTTTTGTACTTTTAATAGAGACAGCATTTCACCATGTTGGCCAGGCTGGTCTCGAACACCTAATCTCAGGTGATCCACCTGGTACGGCCTCCCAAAGTGCTGGGATTACAGGCATGAGCCACCCTGCCCAGCCTCATGACATTCTACTTTGCTGGAGGTGGCAAGCCTACTGGTTGGCTTTTGAAGTCTTTATCTGGTCTTCCCTTCAAATGCTCAGAATGAAAGTAACATAAGCAACTTACTCTTCTGTGATGATTTTAAAAGGTTTCTAGCAGGCAAGGATTGGTGAATGGAACTTAACTGCAGAGTGTCTATAATTAATTCTTTTGAGATGTGCAAGAAGGTCATTGATTTTATTTAGTATGCTGTCCTTTTGGCTGAATTTTAGTGACTGTTAAAAACAGAAATTGATTGATAGGCTTTTCTTTTATTCCCAGTCTCTGGCTCCCTAATTCTCCCTTCTCCTTGAGGCATAATTTACTCAGTGGGGGTGCTCAGAAATTATTCTTCTGGTGAGAGGAACTATAGTAGCACCAACAGAAATATAACACAAGCCACATGTTTAAAAATTTTCAGTAGTCACATTAGAAAAGGTAAATATAAACATTATTTTAATGTTTTATTTAACCCAATTAAAGTTAACATTATTTTAATATTTTACTTAACCCAATAAATCTAAAATACCATTGTAACATGTAATCAGTATAAAAATCATTAATGCAGTTGGGCACGGTGGCTCATGCCTGTAATCCCAGCACTTTGGGAGGCCGAGGTGGGTGGACCACCTGAGGTCAGGAGTTCGAGACCAGCCTGGTCAACATGGTGAAACCCTGTCTCTACTAAAAATACAAAAATTAGCCAGGCATAGTGGCACATGCCTGTAATCCCAGCTCTTCGAGAGGCTGAGGCAGAAGAATTGCTTGAACCCAGGAAGTGGAGGTTGCAGTGAGTCAAGATCGCACCACTGCACTCTAGCCTGGGCAACAGAGGGAGACTCTGTCTCA